TTGAGCAGAAACAGAAAACAACCCTCTTCACAACAGCCCATCCATTTTATAGAATCACAGTGTCCCCAGGCACCTAATTGTATGCACACACCATGACAAAAAACACCATCTCATTTGAGCCAGCTAAAACCAGATATAATCAATCAGTTTTTTAAAAAGCCAGGACAGCAAGAAGGAAAAGAAGAAAGTGACAGTCTCAGTATTGGATAAAACATAGATGACATGCAATATAATATCGATCTGAATGGTGTACAGTTCAGTTCACAAGATGCAGCATCCCTGTAGGGCAAAATACACAGACCTGGAAATTTCATTGCAGGTGACATTATGGGAAGGTAGACCATTCAAGGCCTAGTCTGGCAGAGGCTAGCCTGACCTGCTTTCCCTAGGGTCACCAGCAGCATAAGACTAAATAAGGGAAACGATACTTGCATGTAGAAGCCTGTGCCAGCCAGGATCTCCAGGTGTGAAGCTGGCTGATTCAAGGATAAAACTGACATGTTTTAGTGTTATCTGAGGCCAAGTCTGAAGGAGGGAGAAAGGATTACCATCCGGCAGCGAAGTCTATTGGAAAGAAGATAGGCAAAAGGGAAAGAGCTGCCTGTGAGTAAGAGGTGTGTGTGTGAGAGAAGGGGGGGGGGGAAGGGAAGCAGAGGCAAATACATGGAGGGGGCACCAACACGCACACACTCATCTACCTCACATGAACACATTACCATACAAACTGCATTATCCCAGCATACTTAACAAACAGGTACACAGCTTACTTCTAAAAAAGAGAGGGAATGAGAGAAGACACATCAAAGTATGAAACTTGAGCAGATACAAGACATAAATCTGTCTCCTACCATGGTGCGCCAAAGGTTGGAGTTCCCTGCTAGCCACCTAGCACACAAAATGTCAACTTTTGTAAAATATCATAATCTCAGTTGCTTCTTCGCAGGCACGATGCTCATCACATGTCCATTTCACCTCCCACCTGCTGGCAGGACCAGGCCACATGCTTGGTCTTATCTTTCAGGTTGAAAAGGGTTTTAATCACAACCCACTATGGGATGTAGGAGGGAGATTAAGCCAGATGCTACCTTGCAACCCTATACATAAATGTGCTTGGTAGCCCCAGTGGGTGGCTTCGAAGAGGCAATAGGAGTTACTGCGGTTCTTTACCTGTCACTATAATGGAGTGAAGTAAATTTATGCCTTGACAGGATCCCAAAGCACACTGTAGGCTGTTTCTATAGCGATCATTCACCCACTGCCAAAATGCAGCCGTCTCTGGGGTTGAACGCACCAGCTGTTCAGCGTCAACAACATGACAAAGGACATGCAAGAAGACTGTTTGCTGGATGCTCAAAGAAAACTGAGGCACAGCAGAGGCAGAAGTGGCTACCAGGACAGGAGCATGTGGTTGCCAACATCTTCAGCATCCCAAACTGAGCTGATGACATTTGCAAAGTTAGGAACAATCGAGATTTGGAAATGAGTGGCTCCTCCATATTACACATTTCTGCCTCTTTGAGAACTTGCTTCTAAACTGAGTTGTGAAAGAGATCCCAAATCAGTGCAAGAAGCACCAAAATGCCCATAGCCAGGCATATTTTATTTGGCTGTTTCAGGTTTTCGTTCCTGGCATGAGAGTTGTAAAATGCAAACAGTCAATAGCTTTTTCATGACATGTTAAAGTGGTATGATGTCTGCTGCCTGAAGCATATGTGATCATTTATAGCGATGACAGTGATTTGTTCCAGCATTGTTTCTGATTAAACAGGCTTTGAGGAGCCGTAATAATCTGAACAGCTAACAATCCATTTCATCCAAACCACAGTGACACAAAAGAAGTAAATATACCATGTGTAATAATGCACCAATCATATCCAGCTCTAATCTTTTTAAAAAGTTATTGCCTTCCAAATGTAGATACAAGTGACTGCAACAGTTGAATAGATCAAGAGAGCAGCAATCTATGCCTCATTTCCAGAACAGGCTTTCATTTTTACTATACTGATGGTATGCAGAATTCAGCTTCTTCCTCACACACAGCAATAATCAGCATTTGTGACAGATACGTAGCTGCAGGACTATTTTACAGGGAGTGCTTTGATTTCTAGGTGGCATTGTTAAATGCCCTATTCATGCAAACAAGCTAGACAGCCACTTCTGCAGGTACTCACCAAATGGCTCTATCCCTGCATTTTGCCCCTGAAGATACTCAAAAGAAGGCGTGTAGTGGCAGTAACAGGTAGAAAACTATGCAGATTTTCATTACAAATAGGCAGACAGAAATGGTAAAACAACCTGCACGTAATGTTTTTTTAACATTTGAAGCCCATGTTTTTAGAGACCTAAAAGTGAGCAAAACAATCCATCCCTATTTTGTGGTTTTTTTTCCCTGGATGATTTAGGTAAGCTTGGATGAAGTTGTGGTGGTCTGAGCAGATAAACATGTTTTCAAACATCCTTTTTGAACCAGCAGAGATGTTTCTGTGTTATCCAGATGTAGTGCTAAAAGTGAATTGCAGTTCTATTAGCACTCTTGTCATATCTTGCTGGTACTCTAAACATAATGATGAATGTGTGTAGTATGTTTGGCCAGGACTCAGCACTGCTTTTCCGGTTCTCATAAGGCCCGAGGCACTGTGTTCAGCTCATTCAAACCTGATAGGCACTTCTAAACTAATACTTGGGATTAGCATGAAAATGAAGTGGGGAGGGAGATTTTCTGCATATGCTCTGTCTAGTTCACACAGCTATGCTAAACCTGTGCATTGACAGACATTAGTGATGCCAGTGAGTTTTCAAGTAGCCTGCTTTCTCTAGACACCAAGCATTGTGCCTCTTCACTTTGCTGAGAAAAAAACCACTTTTAAACACTGAGGGAAACCAGGATTTCTTAAATCACAGTCTGGACTTACACTGTAGCCTTGCCCTAAATCTAGATATGGAAACCAATCTGCCTCCTTCCCCCATCATGGCTGCTTTTGATATCTGTAAAGCCATAGCACAGTCAGCAGAAAAGTATTCATAGCACTTTGCTTCCAAGTCTGTCAGGACATCATTCTTCTTAAATTGGTTCCCAGGACAAAAGAGTGATGTGATCTTCAGACTCCACAATTTAAGTCTTCAACAACAAGTCTTGTCCTATGTTCCCAAGTCTCTTGTATGAGCTGGAGTAGCTACCTACAAATGAAAAGGTGGCATGCCTGAATAGGATAGGGCAGACAGGGGGTGGAAAGAGGGCCAGGACTGGATCCTGACCTGGCTGGGAAGAAAGAGTACTAAAGATGAACAATCGAGATGAACCCTTTGAAAACATGTTTTCCTCACATGTCTAAGGTGGGAAGTTTAGTTCTAAGCAAGAATATTTCCAGTTGTAAATTAAAATGAAAACCTGGCCAGAGAATGAATCCCTACAAACCTATATCAGCTTTATATAGGTTCTGTAATTATATGCCCGGTATTTCATTAGACAGTGACCTTCTCCTTGAACTGTTTTACTCTAGTATAACCCACCAGCATACCTGTGACTTAATAAGAATTTTAATTGGTGACTTTCTTTAGTGGTCCTATTGCATTGTTGTGCATGCCCTTTTCTGCTGCCTGTAATTTTAACTTTACTTCAAAATAAGACAAAATTCCCAGAGGTAAAGAAAGAAGCGGAGAGAGAGGAAGAGATGGGACCATGATGTCCCGGCAAAACCACTATCAATACAGATCGGTATGGCTCTTTACTAGTTACAAAATGAGAGGTGCGGGGGGGGGGGATCAGGGAGCAAAATGTGTGTTCTCTTTGTGCCTTGGGCTGAAGAAGAGGGCACAGGGAGGTCTTCCAGCTGTGAAATCAAGGCTGTTACCTGAGCTAACAGCAGAGGATTAACACACAATGCTGATCGCTCCCCAGCAGGTTCCACAATCAAAGGTCACTGCCGGGGAGAGACTGTGAAGTATTTTTAACTGGATTTTGATTTTAAATCCATACAGACATGTTAAAGTCACCGGAGAGATGGGAAAGTTGTGTGGGCTTTGAATTCCTACTCATCTTAAAATATCTCCTTTCATCACATCTCAGTGGGTGAAGAACCCATTTCTGCAGGCACACAATTGTTCAAGTGACATTTAGGGGCAACAGGCACAGGGGAAATTGCTTTGCCAGGTATAATGGAGGACTCCTGGTACTAAAAACAGCACCAGGGACAGCATCAGGTTCCCCAGAGGTGCTGCTAGCAGCCACCTGTCAAAAGGTTTCGATGTCTCTACTGAGTCCCTAATGATCCAAGCTTGTCCTATGGCTTTCTGCTTTTCTCGGTAAGCTATGCAGGTCCAAGATGGATTGTGATATTGTTTCTTGGTGTCTAGCGGAAGCCAAGAAAATAAAGAGAATTTTGTCTGAGGATGTTACTGACAGGATGTCCACTTGGCCACCTCAAAAGGGTCACATCCATTCTATCCACTCAGTCTGGCATGTCATCTTCTGACACAGGAGTTGAGAAAGAAATATGATGGGAACTGGGGAAAGGACCATCACAGCCAGCAAGCAGTTGCAGTGTTTTTAATATGTTACATCGCTCAAGGCCAAGTAAAGATGATTGCTTATTCCAACACATACATCCTTACACTTCCGCACAAACACACACGTTTATCTCCACCACCACCACGGTTCAGATGCCCTTCAGAGAAGCAACCGGCTACAGATATCAAGAGATAAAGTCAACATAGGGGCAAGATCCCGCACTTCGTGCAAGTTTGTGCGGTTATCCTAAATTGACCTTCCAGGCTGCCCAGATCCTGGCGAGCTTCACAGAGGAGACTTCACCTCGTGATGGAGGTTTGTGTACGTATGTGGTTGGGGGACTCAGTTCTGAGCTATTCTCCACCTCTCCCGCCAACATGTAGTTTGCTGCTAAAGGGATGCTACATCTTCGCCATTCCCACCACCACCACCAACCAGCCAACCCAATCCGTGGTCCCGAGCGGAACAGGCTGCCAGCTCGGGAAGGACTCACCCGTCAGCTGGTCGTAGGAGCCATCGAGGTCCCGGGAGTCGGAGAGGCTCTCTTTCCTGCCTTTGCTGCGCATTTTGGGGAGCGGGGACGCCCCGAGGTGCTGGGACAGGACGGGAAGTGGCGGCGCGCCTCCTTCTGCCTCGGTCTCCTTTCTGGCGCTGGTGCGCCCAGGGCGCACGGGCTCCGTCCCCCGCCCTCCCGCAACACCTCCGCCCGAATCCCGCCCGAATCCCTCCTCGCCGGCGCCCTCCGCAGACCCTCCTGGCGGGGGCGAAGGACTGGGCACGGGCAGCCGGCGTCCGGCTCCCAAGCAACGGGAGAAACCAAAGCCGGCGCTTTCTCCGCCTCCCCTTGCCAGGTTCCTCTGGGCACAGCCGCTCGCCTTCGTCTCCCGTTCACACGGGCGGCCTGCGACACGCTCCTAGCAGGAGAAGAGGTAAGGTAAGGTAAGGCAGGGTAAGGCAGGGCAGGGCATTCTTCCCGTGGGGCGGATGCCGGTGCCGAATTCTGCGTCGTCGTCCCCCCCTCCCCGCGTCCTCTTGGAGCCTCCCGCCCCACCTGAGAGCGCCGATTTACTCTCGAGGTAGCCTTCTCCCCCCTGCCCGCCCCCGCCTCTGCCCGGGGGAGAGCTGGAGGTTCTCCGTTGCGCGTGACTGACGGAAAACAGAGGGGTCAGGGCTGCACTTTGACACGTGTCTCCCGGGGCTGGCAGACATGTGCGCCTGTACCCAAACGCGCGCGCCGGTGGCGCGCCCCACCTGAGAGCGCCGATTTACTCTCGAGGTAGCCTTCTCCCCCCTGCCCGCCCCCGCCTCTGCCCGGGGGAGAGCTGGAGGTTCTCCGTTGCGCGTGACTGACGGAAAACAGAGGGGTCAGGGCTGCACTTTGACACGTGTCTCCCGGGGCTGGCAGACATGTGCGCCTGTACCCAAACGCGCGCGCCGGTGGCGTCGGTAGGAAGACGGGACGGCACGCCTTGGCAGCACAGGTGTCCCCTCCGCGCGCCCCGGCGAACGCCTCCGCAAGCCCGCTGGCACAGCAGACGCGGGCACCGGGAGGGGGGCGGGCGAGCGGGCCTTCAGAGGAGCAGGTAGGACTCGGGGGTCCTTTCTGGAGGCAGTCGGAGGGCTGAACCTGTCTGCTAGCAGGCATTAAAACACACAACAGCTAAAGCTTCTCTAACTTTAACTACTTAGTGACAAGTAGCGAGAGAACGAAAAAAAAAAGGTTTTAAGCCGAAGCATAATGGTAAAAGTGCTTCCAGTTCCGGAATTTCTAGGGGCTGCGGGTGCTAAGGGCTGAGAAAGGCTACTAGAATTAAAGACCGGTGTTCAGTCTGGTAAAGGGAGGAGGAGGAGGCCTCTGAGGGTGGCAAGAGTCTTGAGGAGATTCTTCAAGGAGGGGGGCCAAGGCGGCTACAAGAACCAGGTTGTGGACATGCTACCCTTGGAATGTGTTCCACCTCCCCAGCCAGCATTTGGAAAAGTTAAGTTTTTCCCAGGTTATGCTTTCCAGAATTCATACACCCTGGGGGATTCTGGAAACTGTAGTTCAAAAAGGCAACTTTTCCCAAGCTCTTATCTGCCAAGCACAGGAGCTGGGTTTCTGCCTGTTCTGTATCATTCCGGTCACTCAGCTGGGATACTTCAGTGTGGCCAAGGCCAGATTTTCAAATCCACAACACATCACAGTTCATGGCTGGTGTGTTCAGAGTGGTAGACTCACACACAGAATTAGTGAAGATTTGATGAATCAGGTCCTCTGTAAGTTTAGTTGATTCAAGTGGGCCTACTCTAGTTGTGACTTACTACTGCATTTACATCAATGAAGACATTAATTTATTGAATAATTAAATCATTTCTTTATTTCTATGAATAAAATAAAAATTAGTAATTCACCCAATTGAAAAAGCCTCTCCATGGCCTTAGTGGCCAAACATTATTTAAAAAAGCGGGGGGGGGGAGGCACCAAGATACAGCAAAATTGCCCCTATGCCCTTTGGAGAGTAGAAGGCTACTTCTTGAGGGGTAAAAATATTAGGAACTGGGAATTTGGGCCTAGGGGTAGACAGATGTGATGGGGGATCCATTTGGGCCCTTGGGTTGTAACCATAGGTTGCACTTCACCCATATGTGTGATGGGGGGGTTAGGACTTACCACATCTTTACAGTAAGGGGGGTATTGACATAGATAGAATTGCTATAAGGGAAAATGAGCACTCCAGTGTTGCAGCAATGGGATGTCGGGTGTGTCCCCGTAGCAAAAGAGATGGATGTGACTTACTGTTTCTCGGCAGGAACAATTCAGTCCCTGGCCCCTCACCCATTCCCTCCATAATTTTATGTTCTTCTTTGTTTCTTCCAATTACCTAAGTGATACCATTTTAATTTTTTTAAAAGGATGGCATCTTTCAGTGGAGTCTGGAAATGCTGTGAAAGCATCTTCTACGTATTTTTCAGCTCACACCATTAATCTTAATTAATGACTAGTACTCATACTCCAGTCTCTGCTGTACTACAGAAATGCTAGCCAAATTGATTCCAGCTCTAAACTAATGTGTGACAAGGTTGTGGAGAAAACTGCTAAAATATTCTGCCCCATCGGGTAGTGCTTCTACTCACAATTAAAAGGTGTCATGCAGCTATTCTCGCTTTCTTTTTCCTCAACATGCTTTTTTTTCCTGGTGAGAAAAAAGGCGGAAGTAACAAAAGGAAAACATGGGAGGGCTGCTTGTGGTAAATGTCAATGTCTAGATTCCCCACAAACCTCAGTGAATAGGACATTCTGAAGCCACAATAAAGATGCAGCCTGGAAGTGCCTTGTGGCTAGCTAGTGGCAAGTGAGCCCAAGAGATGGAGCAATGTATCTCCACACACACACACACCCGCCAGTTCTTGCTCATTTTCTGTGTGACAGAAGATGGAGGGCTCTACCCCTTCTCACGGAGCTCAGCCAGGAGAGTGGCAGGATGTCATAAATCCACTTCACACTTATCTTGGGAAACAAATGGACACTGTAAAATGCCTCAAGCATCATTCATTTTGAGGATCAGAATTAAAAATTATGCTCCATCAAATTGTTTCCAACTTATTGTGGGCACCCCAGGGATTTCTAGGTATGAAGTGCTCAGAAGTGGTTTACCAATCCATTTCTTTATGCCATTCTGGGACTTTGCATCATGCCGACAGCCACACAGGTGCAGGGCATGTAACCTCATCAGTCCAAACCCTCTTCAGGTGATCTCAGTGGACATTCAAAGGCTTAGCCCTTGGCTCTATGTAACCCACCTGGCCCTATGACAGTGTTACATTTTTGAGAGTTTGTTTGTGAAGAGACATGATCAGGATGAGACCATTATGTCTCAGATCCCTCTTCACCTCTTTGGTCTATGTTTTCTAGACAGCCTAACCTATACAACTTTCTTCAGAAATGCACCTCATTGAGTTCAGTGGGCTGACCTACAAGGGGATGGGAATACAGCTTCAGTCTCTCTTGTCTCACTTTATAAAAGTAAGTTAGAGACTTTTTGAACTCTGGAGCTAATGGTGTGCTCCCATTATGCCCCAGACCTTTGAAAAGGTTATTTTCTCATCTAATTGCTAGTGTGCTGCTAGACATGGTTGGAGGATTCTGGAAGTTTAATCTAAAACTGAAACTTTTCGATGCCCTGTAATGTTCATGGGAATTCAGTTTCATTAAGCAAATTATTTCTGCCTGAAATCCACTGAAATAAATATGCATGGCATATGCATTAACAAAGTGATGTGCTTAAAATACCTTTGGTTGTGGTTCCTGACGGCTGCCACTAGGGATGGGAAAAGATCTTCTTGGAGTTGAGATTCTCAATGAAAATATTGATGTTGCACCTCTGAAGACTTGTTGCAAGACAAAGCACATGTTGCCTTGGAAAGTCACTTATTTGGAATATTTGCAAATGTTCTGGATGAGATAAACTGTACATAAATTAATTTTTGCAGCTCATATCCTGCCTGGAAAAGGTTTGGCTGGGAGGAAACTTTCTGGGCTGGGGGAACTATCAATCTGTTCAGAACTAACCAATCATTCCTACCTCACCTCTGTATTCATAGAGAGGCCCTCCTCTCTGCTCTGTGTCTCCCCCCTTTTTCCCCTCTGTTGGAAGCAGTCAGAGTTTGCTGAGGTCTGTTGCTGAAAGCAGTCTTGTTTGTCAGTTTGTTGTTTGATCTGTTCAATTGCAAGTAATTAAACCTTTTATTCTTTCCCTTAGTAATACAGTGGTGCCTCGCACTGCGACGTTAATTTGTTCCGCAAAAAATGCTGCAGAACGAAAATGTCGCAATGGGAAATAAAAAAGCCCATAGAAACGCATTGAAACCCCTTCAATGCGTACCTATGGGCTTGAAACTCACCATTCAGCGAAGATCCTCCATAGTGCGGCCATTTCTGGTGCCTCTTAAGCGAGGAATCCATCTCAGAAATCAGCGGGCGGCCATTTTGAAACTGCCGATCAGTTGTGCGAAAATGGTCGCTTTGCGATGATCGGTCATCGCAAAGCGAAAATACCCCATAGGGCAGTGGTCCCCAACCTTGGGCCTCCGGGTGTTCTTGGACTTCAACTCCCAGAAATCCTGGTCAGCAGAGGTGGTGGTGAAGGCTTCTGGGAGCTGTAATCCAAGTACATCTGGAGGCCCAAGGTTGGAGACCACTGCCATAGGGAACATCGCAAAAAATGCATCGCAAAGCGATTTCATCGCTAACCGGAGCAATCGCTATGTGAGGCACCACTGTATTTCATAGTGAGTCAGTGAGAGTATACATGCCAATTTATGAGGAAAAGGGTTGGTCTACTCTGGGGAAGTTGAAGCTATTCTGCTCTGTGAATCCCTGTACTTCTGCTGTGCAGCTAAAGGAATTTAACCAAAAATTCAAAACTCTGCAATAGGTGTGCATCTGCCACACAACCAGACACACAACTGACACATTGTTAAAGAGCTGCAATTTGTTCCCGTGACTTAATAAATTAGTAAAATCCCAATAGGATTTTGACCAAAGTTTTATAATCTGATATGAACAAAAAAAGGGTTAAGAATGCAGGTAGGATTCAGAGATAAATCTTCCACATCCTGCCATTTCACTTGCCACTGAGCAGGGAAAGACCTTATTGGATGAAAGGTCTGATATCAATATAATGACAAACAAATAAAACATACAACAAGATGGGCAGCTCTGACCTTCAAAATGGCACACTCCTCTTGCTTACAGGTAATTCAGGAAGTGCCAAGTGCTTGTGCTGTGCCAAGCAGGGACTGGAAGACCGTGCTGTGCTTCATGGGACAGATCTGGGGCTGCCATTCAAGACCACCAATCTGTCAATTTTAAAGAAATAAGAATTGCTTTTTCTTACTGCCCCATTTGGGAAAATGTGCCACCTGGATGTTCTATCCCAAGGACCAAATTATTTTGGACTGTTTGTGCTGCCTGGCCTTTAATCTGGTGGCTGGAAGGGACAGAGAGCTGCCAGC